CTACCGCTGCCGTTCCGATACTCACCTTCGGTCCTGGCAACACACCTCCTCCTTACCTCCCCGACCCTATCTCCGTCCGTTCCGATACTCATCTCGGACTGAACACCGCCCCTCTCGCCACCCTCCTACTACTCCGCTCCCCCTTCACAACACCTCCACCCTCCCATTATCCTCCTACGCTTCCCCCATCCGTTCCGATACTCACCTTCGGACCTGACTACTCTCCTTTCCGCCACTCCTTCTCCCCTTACCTGTCCCCTCTCTCCTCCCTCCGTTACTCCTCCGCCACCCTTCCGCCAAGTTACGACCTTCTACCGCTGTTCCGTACTTCGCACTCAGACACCGCTCGTACCTTGCTCCGAGCCTCCGTCATAGTCCCTACCTCGGACTTTGACTCCACCTCGGTCTTAGTCCATTGCATTGGTGACCTCATACTACGTAAACACCATTGCCAATATCCCTCGGACTTTCAACCCCGCCTCCATAACCTCCGTAAGCTCCGCAACCCCCCAGCTTCGCGGATCGCCTTCGGCACTCTCGCCGCTTGTAATGTATTTCTCGCGTTTTCCCCTCATCCCTATTTGGACTACTGCTTCTTCCTATTCTAGCCAGTTAGTCATCATCCCCACTTCCCCTCATCCTCCTGCCCCTCTGGGCCTCGCCCTCCCTACCTCCTTTCGGACGTATCACAGGTCCTACCTTATGACCTTCGGTACCGCTCCGCTCCTTCTACCCTTTGTTCCCGTTCGGACGTCTTCATTCCGATTCGGTTACCCTTTGTTCTCCTTGTGCTTTTGCCCCTTCCATTATATATATCAGCGCTTGTACATACTTGTTTTGGTTTTAGTCCGAAATCGACCTGAAATGCCCCCTAGAGACTTCCTGCTCACCTACTGTGAAATTAAGGACCAAATGGACAAACAGCAATGGCACAGCGCTCCGCCTGAGTCGCTGAGGCCAAGGTCCCTCCACGCTAAGTCTCCGATTCCACTCCGGAGTCGTCCGAATCCGCCTGTTCTAACAGCCTCCTGCAATTGAAATTATTGTATTGTAGCAAAGTCATCCGAGATATTTTAACTCCTGACTCATTGTCTGTGCACATTGCTGGCTGCTGTCCAGAGGGGTGTCAAGACTGTTTCCCATGGTCTAGACACACTTTACATAGTTGGATAGCCCCATTGAATAGCTTCCAGAATATACAATTTGAGAGTGAATTGACCAATAAATTATCGAGAAAAATGCAAAATACTTTTTTGGACACGAGTCTGCAAACACTTGTGGCTGTCCAAACTTACTGTCTGTGCACAATGCTGGCCACTGTCCAGAGGGGCGTCAGGGCTGTTTCCCATGGTGTCAACACACTTTACACCAATGGATAGCCCATTTGAATAGCTTCCAGAATATACAATTTGAGACTAAATTGACCAGTAAATTATCGAGAAAAATGCAAAATACTTTTTTGGACACAAGTCTTTTGGGGTGACTCAATGTCTGTACTCATGCTAACCACTGTGTAAAGGGGTGTCAGGACTGTTCCCCACGGTGTCAACACACTTTACATTGATGAATAGCCCATTTGAATAGCTTCCAAAATTTATTGTATGATGGGAATTCAGGTAAATACATGTTAAAATACAAAGAAGTCTTGAGATGTTATTATCCAGGATCATCCAGGATCATCCGGGATTTTCATCTGGCAGATCCAGATTGGCCATTGGGAGGTGTCCCAATCCGGGATTTCTGATCCTAATCCGATCCTATCCGATCCACCTGGACCCCTACCAGTATGCTCCCATGAGTGCCAAGTCACTGATAGCCACCAACTGGATGACTCCCTTTGGGAGTCCCAGTATTACATGCTACCAGTATGCTCCATTGAGCACCAAGTCACCACTAGCCAACCACTCCCAACACACCCACTGCTGGTATACTCCCAGGAGCACCAAGTCCCCATTAGCAGACCACTTGGTGGATCTTTTAAGGAGCCTCTGCTGTACTTGCTGCTGGTATGCTCCCAGGAGTGCCAAGTTACTGTTGGCCAACCCACAGGTTATATGTACCTTTGGACACCCTTCCCCTTCCACTCTCCCTCTGATGGCTATGCAGCCATGTTACAGGCATGGGTTCCAGGGAACCCAACCTGAGCCGTTCTGCTCACGGATGGAGGTGACTGTGTAGCCATTGAAGGGAGAGCAGGAGGAGATCTGAGGCCGGGTGTATTAATGGTAACTTGGCACTCCAAGGAGCGTACTGGCAGCGGGTGTGGTGACATGCTAGCGGTAACTTGGCACTCTGAGGAGCGTACTGGCAGCGGGTATAATGGGGGCTCCTTGAGGGAGCCACCTAACAGTTGGCTAGTGGCAACTAGGCGCTCTGAGGAGTGTACCGGCAGCAGGTATAATGGGGGCTCCTTGAGGGAGCCACCTAACAGTTGGCTAGCAGCAACTTGGCGCTCATATGAGCATACCGGTAGCATGGGTAGTTGGCACTCCTTGAGGGAGCAGCCCAGTGGTCGACTATCAGTTACTTGGCACTTAGGGGAGTGTACCGGTAGTATGAATTGTTGGGACAAGCAGGTTGGTTGACTAGCGCACGGTAGTGAGTGACCGTGGGAATTTGGGCCCGCAGGTACGTGGCTGAGCATCCTGGGGCTGCTTGAGTCACTTCTCCCTCCCAAGAAGGGAGGAAAGGCTGTAGGGCCTGGTAGGGTACTACAGGAAGGGTAGGAATGGGAGCTCAACCACCCAGTGGGGGGGTGGGAGCAGGAAGGGTGAGGTCCGGTGTCTGAGCACTCACCGGGTCGTTGAGGTTTCCTCATGGATTGTAAGAATATTGATGTAGACATCAATATTGACCAAGTCAGATGTTACAGGGAAGGTTTACAGGTGGTGGCACACTGGGGTGACAGTTACAATCACTGGGTGATAGTCTGAGATTGTATATTTGATAAAGAGAACATTTCCGGCATCTGCCTTACATGTCATATGACTTCTAACTATCTAATATAAAAGTCACAATGGTCAAGGGAAGTCCCTTGAAACTCAACAAATCCCCCAGCCAGCACCAAAACCCAGTGGGAAAGCTTGGCATGGGGTTTGGCAATGAAGAGGAGGAAATGGAGGTGACCCTGGGTCCCCTTGCTTGCAGCCATGGACCATAAGATTCTAGTCCATTTCCGTAACAAGCCACCTCCACCTGTGAGCAGAACAGCTCAGGTTGGGTTCCCTGGAACCCATTCCTATAACACCTGGAGCTAGACATGTTGCACACAATGCAGGCAGGTGTCAGAGTACAGCCAAGCCTGGACCACTTATTCATAGCTGATGACACATCAACCCTGGACTGATTTAAACCTGTGCTACATCCCTTTCTGTAAAGTGGCCTCACATTACCAAGTATGCCAACCTTATTACTGTACACGCATGACCAACTACCTGTCATGCATCATGCTGGCCTCATGGTCTGGCCAGTTTGACCATCATGTCACGTGTCACCCTGGGCAAAAGGTTGAGTGAACAGTGTCATGCAACACATCACTGGTGGCACAGTGGCTATGCAAATGTTTTTTTTTTTGGTGGAACCCCAGCAGCTTTTGCAATACATAGGCATGTATTGGGGTTTGTGTAGGGAGGCAGGGTCCCATTGAGAGATTGGAGTGCCAGTTAGCCACCACGGGGAAATGTGTTACACACTAGCCAGTTATCAGCATCATGTGGGGCTCCTGGCCCTGGTCACAGGGGGTCCGGTATACCCACTAAAACCCCGGGGCTGTTAAGCCAGTTGTCTGGCAGTCTCTCTTCTTCGTGTAGGTTTCCACTCCAGGTGAGCAAGACTAGTTTGGCTGGCAGGGCCTTAAATGTATTTTTTCAAGTACATACTTAGATTAGAAATGAAAAATTGCCAATTCCTCATCCAAATTGCATGCCCATCTGACTTGCATTCCATGGCCGAGGTCACAGCTCTGAAAGTTAGATGTAGGAGGGACTACAGTGGTCCCATCTATCTGAGTCACACCCCCAACCGGTTGGGTGTCATGCATCAAAATGAGGTGCCAGTCCATCATTTTGTGTCACACTTGGGACCCTGCCGGTTGTTGGTCATGCGCGTACAGTATTCCCTGAGTAGCAAGTGAGAGAGATAACTTTCTTTTCTCATTCCCCTCACTGCTCAGGTAAGTTGTACTTAGTAGATACATATTGTAATAGACCTCATTCCCCTCGCTGCTCAGCTGGAGTTGCCAGGGGCCCCATGGGTCTCCCATTGAGACTGATTCTACTCCATTGAGTAACACCCCAGCTGACACCCCCGGACTCCTTGGTAAAGTAAATAAGCTATACGCGCGGTCTCAGTCTCGAACAAGAGAACTAAGTTTATTGTTCCTTTACCTATACGCGCGGTCTGTAAATACAGTCAGAACTCGCATACAAGGAATAAAGTAAAAGAAAAAGGATATCACCTCAGTCTCAAACAAGAGAACTGAGGGGGTGTGAAAAATTTCCGCGCACAGTGTGTTTTATACACCTAGCGCTAATATCGCTTATAGCGACTGCCTGCTATAACCGGCAATGAAGACTGCATCAAGACAAAAAGGTATATACGATATCCTCAATTGATATCGCGTCAATAAAGAAAATATCAGTACGCATGCACATTGATATTCCAATACTTGGCTCAGACCCAGAGCAGCTCAGCACTCTGACAGCAGGCCAATGGTACATTGATACAAGAGAGAAGGTCATCCATGTGATGAATGAAAGAAGAATGTTGTGGTGAAGTTGCGAGGTCCATGTGATCCAGGGCCATGTGACGTGTTTGCAAATAGTTACATAATTGATCCAATAGAGAGGAACCATGTAATGTGTTCATAGGAATTTACATGTTTATTATGACCAGGACAGGAGATATGCAGTACCTTTTGTTTTTTGAGGCTTGTTTTCGGGCAGCGGAACCAAATTGGACCACGTGATAGAAATACCGAAAGTGCTGTTTGTTTTTATTGACATCAAGGAAACCCTGAACCAAATCGCGAACGCTGCGACCTAGTCCTTTCTGGCTCGCGTGTCGCTCCCCAAGTCATGTACGCTCACCGGGGAAGCAAACCTGCGTCAAATAATGGTCCTGTGACCCTTTGGAAGCCATTTAAAGTTCCCCTTCCAGCTTTTACAACACATGAGGCTTCGCGACCCTCACGGAAGAGGAAGCGTGTTTCCTACACTGACACGGACGAAGAGAACAGCGTGCCCCATCCGAATCCCTCTGATATATTAATAGATAATGTGGGCCCGCGAAAATCACGCCCAATCCTCAAGCCTCCTTCCAGCATCACTTCCGTCTTTAGAATCCCGACAATGCGAGCTAAGTCAGGCGAAATTATACCGACTACAATAACTGGCGCTCCTCTTGGCGTCAGGGCTCCGATCTCGATACCTCCGCGACCCCTTCATGATCCTATGTCAGACCATGCTATCGTCTTGTACGATCCCACAATTAATGATGGAGAAACAGACGAAGAGAGGAAAGAGCGCATGAAACAAGAAGCGAAGGAACTGGAAAATTTAGAAGCTCGACAAACTGCTTGCGATTTGGGTTTGTTTAATCCTCATAAAAGCCTACGCGAATTGCTTGGCGAGACGAATCGAGTGGGATGTGCTGCCAAGGCTGTGAAGGTCCCTGTGGTCATAGACCCACTGCTGAGCAAAAAGCTCCGCCCCCATCAAGTTGAAGGGGTTAAAGTAAGTTGCTTATGTGTTGCCCTTAGGGCTACAACACTGAGTTTGTGTTCTTAGTTTCTCTATCAATGTACGACGGGTAATATGGTGGGGAATCAATATGGGTGTGTGTGTCTTTATTTGGGACATGCGATTATTTGACTGTGACCTAGCTGTATCATGGCAGATGAGATGGGTCTCGGGAAAACCATGCAATGTATCGCTTTGCTTTGGACCCTTTTAAAGCAGTCCCCTAGACCAGGGAAACCGACGATCGAGAAGTGTATCATAGCGTGTCCAGCGAGTTTGGTGCGAAACTGGGCAAATGAATTCGGTAAATAGTGAATTGCAGCTGCATAGTAATTGCTCACTTGCGTCGCCAGCCAAATGGCTCGGGGATGGTACTCTTGGCTGCCTTGCTATTGATGGCAGGGGCACCAGGGACCAGATGACAGCGAACGTCGCACGATGGATATCCGCTTCTGGACGAAACATTACTCAGCCAGGCAAGAAATGGTTATCAAACTAACTTGTACTCTAACGCACGTCTGCCCAAAGTCATGATAGTATCTTATGAGACTTTGCGCTCATTGGCGCCTCAGCTCAAGAACTGTCCAGTTGGACTACTACTTGCCGATGAAGGTCACCGACTGAAAAATTCTGGTGTGTGGCCCAGCCTGAGATTAATCCTCCATGTTTACCGAGGAACGTCCGAATGCAGATAATCAAACCTTTCAGGCACTCAACGACCTTAACGTGCAACGTAGAGTCGTAATCACCGGGACACCCATTCAGGTGACTATCCATTTTCCGTAGCATGTTCATGTCTCATCCCCCACAATAGAATGATTTATCGGAATATTTCTCACTCTTAGATTTTGCGAACCCTAATTTCCTTGGAAGCAGGAACGAGTTTCGCAGAAGATTCGAGAATGCTATCATCAAGGGTCGTGATGCTGATTCCTCAGCGGCTGACAAGACTGCGAGCATCGAGCGGATGAGGGAACTTAACGAGTTGGTAACAAAATTCATAATTCGCCGAACAAATGATTTACTTTCAAAGTACTGTGAGTGATCAGAATCTAATGGTGGGGTTTCACTCATAGTTTTGGTTTGAAGTACCTGTTAAATATGAGCATGTGATCTTCTGCCGTCCTTCTGCGCTCCAGGTTTCACTCTATAAATTTTTCACCAACTCCAAGGACATCCAGATCCTTCTGAAGGGTTCGGGAAGCCAACCTCTCAAGGCGATCGATCTGCTTCGGAAGTTATGCAATACTCCTCAGTTGTTGAATCTTCCCGAGGCTTTACATGGATGCGATCACCTACTCCCCCTCGACTATGTTGGCATGGGCAACCGTGGCAGCAGCAGATTAAGCCGTGCTCTCCCACTGTCGCGCCAGGAAACGTTCTCAGGACTCCGTTCTGCATACAGTGGGAAAATGGCAGTGCTGGAAAGGTTAGTCAGAGAATATAATGGTCATGACTCCATCTCAGAGCGGCCCTGCAGATTTCTGGATCGTATCAAAGCAGAGACCAAAGAAAAGGTAGTATTGATTAGCAACTTCACTCAAACACTTGACCTCTTCGAGGATCTATGTCGGAGCAAAAGGTATGCTTGTTATCCTGGCGACCGTCTTCTGCGTTCCAATTAGGATCGGTATATTGATAAGATATGGCTTCTTTCGACTGGATGGGGCAATGGCGACAGCAAAGAGAGCCAAGATTGTGGATCAGTTCAATGATCCTGCGAGTCCAGAGTTCATCTTCCTTCTAAGCAGTAAAGCTGGGGGTTGTGGAATCAACCTCATCGGCGCAAATCGCCTCATCCTATTTGATCCTGGTAAGCGGCAAAATTTGACGTGTATACAATGCGCAGTTTACCGTATCTAAGATTGGAACCCTGCGTCGGATCAGCAAGCACTCGCCAGGATTTGGCGTGATGGACAAAAAAAACAATGTGGGACTTCACGTCGCAGTAGTTCCCCTGAGCACTAAGGTATATTATAGGTTTTGTCTACAGGTTCATCTCAACCGGAACTATCGAGGAGAAGATCTACCAACGTCAAGCCTCCAAACAGTCATTGAGTGCAAGTATTGTAGATCAAGTGGACAACAGCGAGCTACAATTCAGCGGAAACGAGCTGAGAAAATTATTTTTGTTTAAGGACGGCACCGTCTGCGAAACTCATGACACGTTCAAGTGTGGGCGTTGCAAAAACGGCAAGCAGGTCTTAAAATCGCAGGCACTCTTATATGGTGATGCAAGCACGTAGGTGGCAATCTCAACTGGCCTCATGCGGGAATCAACTTATGGTGATTCAGGTGGAACCATTTTCGCAATGACGAACTGAAAAATAATCATGATGACTTGCTTCGTGCAGAGTGTGGGGGTACCGATATCTCGTTTGTTTTTCAGTATATCAGCCATTAGACTGAACGTCTAGATCCCAAGGGATCACGGGAATTGACATTTATTTCATGTGGATTGATCGAGAATGCTTGAAATCAATGGTAAAAAGGAAAGAGAGTCGCTGCATAGCTAAGGCCGGCACAGATGTTACAAATCTTCATCTTCTTCAGGGAGCGGTGCTGCGGCAGCCTACATGGAAGTTCCGAATATGAGATAAGAAAAGGTCCAAAGGAAGCGACCAACCGTTGCTAAATCAGCCTCATACTGCTTCATCAGTCCAGCGTCAACGACGATCTCGGGCGGGGCGAGAGCCGGGGCAGCAACGAAGTCGAGGGCGGGGTTCCTATCAAGGACTTGAATCAGAGGCTGGATGCAACAAATAGCACATGCATTGCTCACCCTACTAGCTTTCTGGCAAGCCACAAGAAAGGCTTTTCAAAGTTGTAGTTAGACTTCGCTGAAATTTCGAAGTACTGCAGGTTCTTCTTCCGGTGGAATGTAATCGCTCCTGTTTTCACTTTTCTATCCTACAGCAGCATATCGATCAGCCAAAAATGATTTCTTGCGTATGGGTGGACATACTTTAACGTCTACTTTATTGCCGCAAAGGACAATAGGGATATTCTCGCAGACACGTTCCAGATCGCGATGCCAATTTGGGACATTTTTGTAGGTTATGCGAGAAGTCACATCGAACATGATGATGCCGCATTGCCCTTGAATGTAATAGCCATCCCGAAGACCCCCAAATTTCTCTTGGCCCGCAGTGTCCCAAACATTGAAGACGATCGTTCCGAAATTGGTTGAAAAAGACAACGGATGAACTTCGACTCCTAAGGTAGCTGGTTGCACACGATTCCGTTCAGCCTTGCGACTGTCTTTTGTGACGACATCTTAACACATACCGATATATTTCTTTTCAAATTCGCCGGTGAGATGACGCTGTATCAACGAGCAGATGATTAAGGTGAGATCAATCGATCTCCACACAAAAAGCACTCTTGTTGTTCAGACCAGACCTTGACAAAAGTAGTTTTCCCGGTGCCCCCATCTCCAACTGCATCGTTGGTTTCGGAATAAGCAGGGTGGCGAGGTGGCGAATGGAGCGGTTTGGGCAAACATGAGCGCCAATCGAGTCAGAATGAAATTGTAGCGGATTGTTGGTGGAGGTTTACAAGAACGGAAGATCACCAGACCTACCTAAGACGAGCTTGAAGGTTGGGATGGTTGGAGGCAGTGGGACCGGTGGTGTCTGCGTTGAATCGGCCGCCATGAGGTCGCGATGAGTGAAGGGTTGACGATGATCAGGAAGAAGCGTTGGAACAAACGGAAAGAGGCGAGGTCTTAGTCCCGTGATTTAGGTATCACGCGAGACCGCTTGGTGTCTTGTGCTCGTTGACACGTCCCATATTAGTGCTTTACTAGACGATATCTAGAGCTCGTTTACATGCGGGTGTTTTTAAGAGAAAGAATTCTCTGATCCTATTGGGTGTTGTTGACCAAGAAAGCCTTCGCTGATCCAGCGCCGCCCCATGAGATAACTTAGATAAGCCGGTATCGGCTCGTCTGACTGCCTATACGATTGGAGAACCAGCGAACTGAAAGCATCGGTGGAAGCGTATTGACAGGCATAGGAATAGGTTTAAAGTTACATTGCCTTCTCTGTGCCCACAGTGATTTTTTCGGCACTCAGCCGCTGGCCGACTCAATTGCCTCCTTGATTTCCCCACACCCAGCTTTTTCCACCTCGTGCAGACGCAAGCCTTGCTATTCCTTCGTAAAAAGAAAAGAATATGGTGCTATCTGCCATTGCCATTTCCGCCCCAATCAGAAAGCGCAAAATCCTTGAAGAGCATCCGATATCTGATTCAACTCGGAGCACTCGTGCTGTCAAGGTCGGCTTGTTCGACAATTTAACGTAGCTTATTGGTTTCAACTCTGCTTTCAGCAGCGCAAATGTACGGAGAGTAATGATCAATTTCTGCCCAAAGAGCTTCCTCAATCGCTAGACCTTCTTTCCCAAGCTACCTATACCGCGCCAGTTTATCCCCGTTTTGACCTTTACCCAGACTTCGCGTATGATGAAATGGACGTTGATCCTCCACATACCCTGACTGCCTTGTCGACACACGAAAGCATGTCCACTTTCGTGGGACTCCGACAACCCCGAGAGAATTTTCCGTCGAACCACCACACGTTCGTGGCATTCCGGTTCACTGGCAGGATATATTTTTCCACTTATGCTCGCTCCTTCAGCTGTTCTCAAATCCCCAAGCTTCAAGTCGCAAAACATCCCGGTTTGAATGGTCACCGGGCCCTTTACACTTTATGTCCTCAATGCGGCGCAATTAACAAGGTGGAGGAGGCTTGGAACAAATGAATTGAATTTGAAGTCATATCGTTGTTGCTTTTCTGAGTTTTCACCAAATGAGAAAATTTCCCAACCTGCTGCTCCTTCATTGCAATATTGCGCACCCAGTCAGGTCAACACGCTCGTCTGTCATAACCCCAACTAGCTTCAGCGTGTCAGGTGATAATCGTCAACCTTCAGAAGCAGTGCAACCGTCTCAGTTGCCAGCTCGAGGGCGCTGGTCGAAACAAGTAAGGGTTGCACCACATCTTCCTCCAAAATGTTGGATACCAGTCCCTGTCGGGAAGTTCGCACGTGAATGCGCATCATCATTGCGCGAGTGGATGTCGGCTTACCTTGCGCACGTTAATACCCGCCGTCTGTTCACCTAGTGCGTGCCGATTACGAAGTTCGGTAACAATGGCAATCGAGTTTAAGCCCGCATTTTCGGCTAAGGTTGTTGGAATGACTTCCAACGCGTCTGCGTATGCCTGGAAACAGTATGCTTCCAGACCGCTGAGGGTCTGTGCATATTGGGAAAGCATACGTGATGTGTGTATTTCGGGGACGCCCCCTCCCGCTATCAAGGCACTGTGGAATGTGTGAGTTACCTAATCACGTAATGAATGAGGTGCACTTGCCGTCTTTTGACGAGACATCGAACAACACAGAGTGAATCGTGTAAGCTCCTCTCAGTTTCCTCAAGCACCACATTATTGCTACCCATGCATAGAATTGAAACTGTACGGCCGGGATTCTTGACACCTGTTATTTTGACTACACGTGCTTCGGCTTTCTGTGTCTCCTCCACAAGTTCCGCAAACCCAAGTTTATCTTCGCTAAAGGCTTCAATGTCTGCTATAGGGCGTGCCCCAGTACTTCTGGAGAGAAACTCGATCTCGTCACGTTCGATGTCCTTTATCACGAGAATCTTCAATTTTGCCAGAAAATGCAAGGATAAGTCTGTTACTGCATCTCGCAAGATGGATTTCCTGAATTCATAACTGAGCATGTCCTTATTGTCAGGACCAAGGGGCACGCACTGGATCAGGAGAGCATTACATCCTGTTTTCTTTATCCTCTTGCAGAGCCGAAGTAAATATTCGCGCTCTTCTTTGAGTATTTTATCCATTTGTCGGTAATCATTGACAACAATTTGGTTGTCCATCTGAGGAGGTCATCATTGGCTGTCCATGACTCGCTGCTGCAGAAGATATGCTTACATCAGGTTTAGGCGGGCTGACCTGAAATTGGATTAAACCAATTTTGGCCTTTTCCATTCTTGTTGGACCGCCAGCACTGGAGATCACCAATTGATTAAGGACAACTCCATCAATGAGTTCGGTGTCTTCTATGGTACCGCCGACTTTTTTAACAATTCTTATATCACGAAGGTCGACATTAGACGATGTCGGAGTAGTCAGTCGAGTTACAGCAGAGACCGCGATCGGGGCGAGGATTGAAGAGTACTGGGATACAATCTACAGCGTGGACAGTTAACCACATTCAGAGACGGACAAGGTTCGGATATTGGCTACCTTCGAGTTGAGGCTGGTGGTTGCAGCCCGGAGCAGACTCCCTTTGTCTTTAAGGTCCACAGGAGTCGCAATTTCATCAAGATATTGTACACCTCTCAGGGACGCCTTGATGAATGATTCAGCAATGATCGAAGGATGTATCCCTTTGGCGAGCATTTTTTCTGCGGCGCTCAGTAGACTGCCGGCGAGTACAACGACGGACGTCGTGCCATCACCAGCTAATTTTAATTGAGAGACGGGTCCCTCACAGGGCAACGGTTACGTACCCTCCACATCTTGTGCTGCAGACAAATCAACAAGCTTTCGCTCCAATGAGTTCGATATGCAGAGGGTTATGAGTGAGTGATTACGTACCATTTTTGCTGCAGGATGCAATACCGCCATGTGTTTTAATATTGTAGCACCATCATTGGTGACAATCACCTCTCCTTGAGCGGTTTGTATCTTGAGTTTCATGAGCTTGAGTGAGAGAGGATGATGGAAAATTCACACCATTTTGTCCATCCCTCTCGGCCCCAAGGAAGTGCGGACGGCATCACTTATGGCTTCCTCCAGCTCGATTAATAATGTGCTGAGAAACACAGAACAGAATCTGTTCACCTTTCGCGGCAGTCATGTTGGATAATCGGACCTCCATGGGTTTCCTCTGGGAAACATTAGAAAACGCCATGGCTTCGCGAGCGCTCGCAGAGCACACCTTGTCATTGAACGCCGAGTTCGAGCCATTAGATGAGACTTTCGATGAGAGAGACATCCCACAGCAAGACCAATATTAGATATAAACAAATATAACAAATCGGTTCGGACAGCTCCGCTGAAGTATATATTGAAGTGGAGGAAAGCCACGTGATATGTGTGGTCATTGTCATAAATGCATCTGCTGCCGCGGGGCTTCGATGCCATCCGAGTTCTGCCCTCTCAACTGAACCTTTCACTCGTATTGAAATGTGGTCAAACCTTCAGATGGGACCGACTCGATCTTGAGCCGTACTCTCCAGAATGGCGCTTTGTGTTGTTCGATCGAGTGGTCTGCTTACGCCAAAACGAAGAATATATTTTTTTCCGGACGATCTTGGCGAACGGGGTTGCCGAAGACTCGGATTGGACACGGCTGTGGATCCAGGATTACTTTCATCTTCATGTCGACACTGAGGCTATTTTCAATGCAGTCGTAGATCCGATTTTCATCGCTGCTCGTCAGCACTTCGGTGGAGGGATACGGATTCTCCGCCAAGACCCATGGGAAACATTAATTTCGTTGGGTGTTCCTTCATTGCTTCGTCTGAGGGTGGCTCAATGTTGCTGTCCGTAGGTTCATTTGCTCTCAGAATAATAATATACCTCGAATTACATCCATGGTGCATAAACTGTGTCTTCATTTCTCGCAACCTCTTACTCTGGGACCCGAAGATGCTGAGTTGATAAATCCATCAAATCATCCTTTTCCAATGCCACAGAGTTTGGCTCAACCTTCGGTGGAGACTGATTTGCGCAGCCTTGGCTTTGGTTATCGTGCCAAGTTTATCCAACAGACGGCAGCCTTACTGTGCAAAAAGCATGAGGATCCTCAGAAATGGCTGCTGAGCCTACGCGAATGCACTTACGAAAGTGCAAGGGATGAATTAATGCAACTCCCTGGGGTTGGTCCCAAAGTCGCCGACTGTGTTCTGCTCATGTCATTGGATAAGGTAGTGTGTTGAATAGCCCCCAAGTGTCGCATACTCTGAACCTATAGTCAAGCATGCGACGGTCCCGATTGACACACACATGGTGTCCATTGCAATCAAGCACTACAATTTCCCAGCAGGAAACCGTATGCGCGGGACCACAATATCACCAACAACACGAGGGCAGATGGCATCGTTTTTCCATACGCAGTGGGTCCATATGCTGGTTGGGTCCATGGCGTCCTTTTCACTGCCGATCTGCCATTCGTTGTCCCTGCGGCCGTAGAGAACAGGGCTACGGTTTCCCAGCATCCGGGTAGAAATCGGAAAATCAGAAGGCACGGGTCATTTTCGGAGTTGGTTGTTTTGAGAGGTTCAAGACAACCCCGAGGCGAGGAACGTTGAGAGCCAAGCATGCAAATTTTGCAAGTAATGCTTCAGAACAATCTTTGTTAAATTCGGAAAGCGAAGCTACACCGTCACAGAGCCATGTGCTTATAGTGAATCAATCAATACTCCAACTTTGTCGAACATAGTCCAAAGGACTCCATGGGTTATGATACTCCTTGAAGCGCTTACACCTATTTCATTGGAAGTTCCAGCTAATGTTTGCACCGTTGCATAAAGAAATGGACGCACCAAGGCCACGATACAGGCGCGCAAGGCCGAGGTAGATAGGTTTCGGTTTATCTGGGTCGGTCCCTCGCACCAGACGAGTGAACGTCTCCAATGCGCTACGATATTGCTCTCCGGATAATGCCCTTTGTTGTACTTTGGTCTTCACCACGTCCAACGGATATATGATTGCCCAGCTGGACACGCCAGCAAAGCTTCCGCACAAAAAAGGGAGTAGTGAGTCAGGGAGGTGGAAAGGCAACCAGGCAGGTTGCGGCCCTTGGGCACCGGAGGGGAGTCTTCCTAATATACGGCGAAAGCAATCATACTCCGCAAAGTACATCGCCGTCCCAAGCGTGTCACGCACTGCTCATGCTCACATCAGAATCGTGCTCCACTGGTTCAATGTGCACCTACACAGATGCAAGTGGAAACCTTATGGTGTTCATCCCAGGGTGAAACCAGAACGATTGGTATACCAAAGATGATCTTACCTGTGTACAGCCCACGAACTCCACTTTGGTGTACTATATCTAGCACGGAAGCTGCAGTTGAAGGGGCCTTATGAAGCACTACACCTCGCTTCTCAGCAATGGAAAATTCCAACTGCCGTCGAACCTAGAGCAGAATTGGGAAGTGTTGGAAACAGGTGCTAGGAAGATGTCAAACCTTGACGAGTTCAAAGGCTAGATTGGAAAGTCAGGCAGGGTTGATATAAGTCGTCCATGAGTGACCTACGAGCACTGCCAGCTGATATGACGGAGCCGCTAATGGCACCACCAAACCATCCAGCTAACACGACATGTGTAAGACGACGATTGTCCAGCCAATGGGCCTTCTGCAGTGCCTCCTTCGTTCCTGTATAGATTGTAAAAGAAGCAGCCCTTACGGCTGATATTGTGAAGAGAGGTATCCAGATGCCTCGAAAAAATCCAGCTGTCACCGGATCAGAGTGGGTGTCATGTTAAAAGCCAGTTTACGCACCGACACCTTCCTCTCTCCATATACCGATGCCTGGAGGGCTTTGGATTCGGTCGCGGTGATGACAGCAAGGAACCAAATGACACACCTAACCTAAAAACTGTGATCGGAGTCCGACGAGCTTGAAGCCTACTCTTTAATGAATCGAGCTATGATCAAAAGTCAATACTCAAGCAAGTGGCGGCGCGACCAGACTAACTGGATAGCCAGCAAATGTTGATATTAGGCTCGAAACTGTGGCGCTGACGATCGTTCTTTCCGCTAGACGCACAGGGAAATTTCAGAATCAAGATCGGAAAGTCTCGAAGACTAGGCGTATGTAGTGATATAAAATTGTCTATCTGTCTTACGGGACTCTTCGTATGCTCACATTTGAGGGTAGGAATAATTGCGTCGGAAGGGAGGAATGGAAGACGGTGGGACTCATGTCCTCCCATATGCGACGGACAAAATCCCCAATCAACGAATAGAAGGGACTTGGTCACTAAAGTGCACAGAGCGTGTCCACGGCTGTGTGAGAGTGGCAGTACTGGAGTCAAGACTTAATTTCTCAATCTTGCAAACAAGGTTAGGCAATTTCCGGTGTCGATTCAGGACCCAGCCCTAATCAAGATGCCGAACTCGAAAGAGTCTAAAAGAGCTGAAAAAGTATCATCCGACCTTTCCGCCAATCCCTCTTCGGAGGAAGCGAATGGGGCTAAAGCGGATGACAGCAAGGGAAAGAAGTCGGAGCCCACATCCTCGCTATCCTCAGTCTCTCCTAATCCCGCTGAGAGGGTTCCTCCTCAAGGCATTGTTAATGCGATCCATTCTCAAATAGAGGATCATCCTGAGCTTCGAGATATGGACGCGAACAAGATCCAAGAAATGCTCGGGAAACTGCGGCTTAAAGACATGCTCAACAGTAGAAGCGGTCTGGGTGGCAAGAGTAGGAAGGATATTAGTGAGCATAAAGTAATATCTCCCTCGTTCCCCTTCGTCTATCGCCTCCTATCCTGATGCATTTTGAAGTTTTGGAAAACGCAGCCTGTACCGCAGCCTGGTAAGGCGACGTCCAGCACAGACCTCCTACTAATCTAACCAAGCTGCACTTGAAAGGCGATGCTATCTCTGATGACGGGCCAATTGAATTGCCGAAATCACTAGAGGAGATCAAACAGGAACCCGATCCTCTACCTAAGGACTTTGAGTGGTCTATGTTGGATATTTCAGATGCCGTTCAAGTACGTACTCGTTTCGCAGCACCAACGTTAGTTTATTGGTAACCGAAGCACCAGTCACGGGAAGTATACGAACTGCTGTCACAAAACTACGTAGAGGATACCGAGGCAGCCTTCCGTTTCCAATACTCTGCCGAATTCCTTCAATGGTGTGCATTCCAGATTCGTGATGCGGGTCTTGAATCCAACCCTGTTTCTAGGGCCCTCATGCCTCCAGGATATCATAAAGAATGGCATGTTGGTGTTAGAGTGCGATCATCGAAGAAGTTAGTGGCATTCATATCGGGTGTCCCAATTACCCTCGTAGTTCGAAACAAGTACGGTCCCCCACAGTATTCAGAAATTAGGTTAATTCGTCATTTTTTAGGGAGGTGCGCATGAGCGAGATCAATTATCTTTGTGTTCACAAGAAACTGCGCTCAAAGCGTCTCGCGCCTGTGTTGATCAAGGAAGTAACCCGGCAGTGCCACCTTAAGGGTATCTTTCAGGCGATCTATACCGCTGGCGTCGTCTTGCCTACCCGGTGTCCACTTGTAGGTGTGTGTTTCTAATTTGGTCTGAATTGCTGAGGGAATATAAGGATCTGCATCGTCTAGATATTTTCACAGGTCCCTCAACATCCCGAAACTCGTCGATACACATTTTACGACAGTTCCTCGCAACATGACTGTAGCTCGTATGATTGCTCGTAACAAGCTTCCCCCATCTGAGCTTACAAGCCGGGGACTCCGTGAGATGCAGATTAAAGACATTGGTCAGGTAGCTTCTCTATGGCAGAAATACATGGAGAGGTTCAAGCTGTATCCTCGTTACCCCATTGAAGAACTGAGGCATAATATCCTCAGCGGTGCAGGACGTGGCGAACCCGTTGACGGGCGAAGACGGGGACAAGTTGTCTGGAGTTATGTAGTGGAGGTGGGGGACTCAGCCTCTTGTGAATCTTGAAGCTGACAAGCGTTGACAGGAACCGAGAACTCATCAGATCACAGATTTCTTCTCCTTCTACTCCTTACCCTCTACCGTGATGCGCAGCTCAAAACACGCGCTTCTCGAGGCTGCATACCTATACTACTATGCCAGTAGTGCAGCTTTTGAAGGGAGTGCGGATCGAGATCACCTCCGTCCACGCTTACAGCAACTCATTGGCGAAGCATTGATTATTGCTCAGAAGGTGAGATGATGATGGCTTTAGAGGTAGATTGGTGTTAATGAAACTGCAGGCTGGATTTGACGTCTTCAATGCTCTTACTCTCATGGACAATGCATTGTTCCTCGAAGACTTGAAGGTTCGCTATTAACTAGGTCGGTGGTGTACGCCCTGATCGATTTTCATCTAGTTTGGCCCCGGAGATGGGTACCTGAACTACTATCTATATAACTATCGTACTCTTCCTTTCGAGGGTCATCGGGCATTGTCCAGCGATGAAGGCGGCGGGGTGGGAGTAGGGAGAGGTATCGGTGTGGTTATGTTATGAATCAAGACTACAATGGTCTGTTTCTACGGTTGCACCAGAGCAATGTGCTCAGGGGTGGATTCAACTTTGACAATGTCGCTGGTGTTGGAAACGATTATTCAGGTTTTCCGGTGATGATGATGATAATCTATCTTAATAACCCGCGGCCTCTCGTGATGTCGTGGCAGTGCGGATACCCCGTGGCGTACATGAAGGGGACTATACATGAAGTGTGGGTAGTTTGGTTGGTATCGTCAGTGATCCTCGGGTTGTGTGGTGTCGGTGGGTATTGTCGTGGTGTTGATAAAAATAAGGAAATAATTCATTGTGGTCATCTCGCCCGTTAGCCGCCATCCTAAGTGTGGCAGTGTAAGACAATTGCAGTCATGTCGTATCAAAATCCTTATCAAATCCCTAACCAGCTTTCGAACGAGGGACGCGAACACCAATTTGGCTACAACATGCCATATGGAGAGAGTGTTTATCCTGCGTACCAAGATGCACCTTTCCCCCAAACTGATGGCCCCGGAGAGCGGAACTATTCCAAACAATCCTCCACTGAAGCTTCTGTAGCGCAAGAAAAGTTCATTCCTTCTTGCCACGGCCGTATCCTTCCTCCTGATTCGTCATTTATAGGTCTACCCCAGCAGTGAGATTTTCGAGCTACGAGGATCACAGAAATGTTTGGACTAAGGTGTGGTGACGTTGCAGAGAATCTTTCTCTCTAATTGGACTCTCCAGGGCTCTCGAGGGAGCTGCTTCGCGAGATTCCTTTGCTGCACCCTATTGACGGCTCTGGTGCTTTTTGTGTCCACGGTCGCTGCATTGGGACTGGTGCGATCCATTCCTTCGGCATTTTCATCTAGGATCCCTAACACCACATTGCAGTGGATCCGACCCCCTAATGTCACGTTCAACGGGCTCGTTTTCCCTTCTACAGGCAATAAAGTAGGCCTGCCCGGTGGGAATGTACGAACCTTCCTCATTCTTCTTTTAGGTTGATGTACAGAATGGCGGCTTCAGGATCAATCTACAGGTATTCTTTATCATATCTTTCATTCTTATGCTGGTTGACCTCCATAGTATAGTTAAATATCAGTGTGGACAATCCCAATTTTTTTTCTGCTACCTTCCAGAACATAAGTGCCGTAGCGACATATCCTGTCGGGAACATATCTTCCATTGGTGGTGGCTCACTATCAAATGTCAAGTTCGCTTCGCATGCTATTACACCCATCCTTTTCCCGTTTATCATCACCTATGAAACAAGTCTCGACCCCACCTTAGTTGTTGCAAAGGACATTGCAAGCAAATGTGGATTTGACGGCTCCACACCTCAAAATATTGTTGTGGATTATGTTCTTACGGTCAGTTGACAGTATTTGTTGGTCGGAATTCATCTTCACCTATAAGATAGTTGAGGATCAGAGTCCTGGCAAAAATCAGTCCAGTGTTCCGAGGAAGTGCGAACTTTCCATGTCCATTGAGTAAAGAGGACTTAGTGGTGGGTGGCATGACAATTACTGCTATTAACAATCTGACAGGGTCATTCAGGGCATCATTGGAGGCTCCCAATAGTTTTGTTTGATTGCTTCTCTCTTGAGTGTGTGCTTGTGTCCCTATTCATGGATTGTATATATGGTTTTTATCCCTAACAATGGTTGAGGATTTAGTTGTCAACTGCAGGTTTTCACCCCTCAATGTGATTTACCTGACAATGATCAACCACCACATAACACTCTCAATTCTTCACTTTTAGAAGTGAGATGTGGTATGTGGTTACTACAGTAGTGGACATGCAAAGTCTTCAAAATTTTAGTGTGTCCAAGATATACATTCAATAAGCCTCAAACTTGGTGAAATCACTTATCTTGCACTTGCTGATCATTTGCTGCTAACAATAAACCAATATTTGAAGATTCAATTTTTTTAGTTTTGGTGAAAAATTGGCCACATGCTAAAAAATGATCACCTATAGTTGGAAGGGGCATCATGTGGAAGGCAATTACAAGAGGAATAAGATTATGGAAGAATATTTTGAGTAAGGGTGAATTTGACATGCAAAATCAAGGATGTTTGAATGTGCCATGGTGATTTGGTTCCGGCCTAGCACATGCCTTCCTTATTTAGCATCCAGGTCCCAATGTCGCTCTTAACATGGCTTCAAGATGCAGGTGGTGAAATACTTTTGCAGTAATGGGGGTATGGCAAGTACCGATATCATGACATTTGGAAGCTGTCAGGGTTCAGCACCCTGCCCTAGGGTGCCCCAGACTCCCCAACCAATCCCTTCCTTCCATTCCTTTATTGTTGCCTTGTTGTTGCCTTTCTGTGTTGTGTATCCGCGCACACGGGATAGCGTGGGAACTTTCTGAGTGAGCAGCTCGCCCAGAACGTTCCCACGCTTACTGGGCACTGCCACCTGGATGTTCCCTCCAGGTCACACTACACAACTCTAGGAGCTGTATAGTTGTGGGCATGTGACCCATTCCTTTATATAGCAACCATGCGGTGAGATGAGACCTTTACCCTTCTTCTCATTTCATGCCCTGCATAGGCAAGTGTATATATTCCCTTTCTTTTACTATACATCTCATGCCCCGCATAGTGTGAGGACAGGTTAGATGGGGGTTGAGGTCAGGGAGCCTCCGAGTCCGAGGCCGGGCCCTGACAGAAGCCCACCTTTGCTGCTGCCAAGGCTGCAGCACTTCAATGTCTGGATTCATGCCCTCTCAGTACTATCTGAAAATTCATCAACCATGTGTGGTGACTCATGGATGCATATTGCAATGGATTGACTGGGAAGGCCATGGAATGGGAAGTGAAGAAACAAAAGAGGCACTGCCCCATGTCAGAAGTTGCAATGGCTGCCATGGAAGCCATCCTACCCCCTTCATAGTCATGAATACTGCACTGTTTTACTTTTCTGGGTCCACTGAAACTCAAAATTTTTAATTTTATCTGAAAAATTTTCAGCCAAAAATTGGCCACTGCTAAAAAAAAAATGGGAAAATTTCAGGAAGCCTGTTTTTTGGTAGCTACACTCGATTGGTGTCTGTCTCCATCAACATTAGGATTATTGGAGTAGCAGAACCCAGCTGAGAAACTTTCAAGTCTTTGTGTGTCCACTACTGTAGCTTGAGACTGAGGTCAGTAATACTTCCTTTCGTTTCTCATCCCTTTTACTCTGTAACTTACATGATATGTATGTATATTGCCTTTAGCTAGCACTTATAGGTAATACAATTATAGTTCTCATGCATATAGCTTGAGACTGAGCTAGTGCTTATCACTCCGAGATCAATAGTCACTCATCAATACTTGGATGCCAATTTTGGACAAGCCAGGGCAATGTTGTTGCAGGGATAAACCCTTGCACTACAAAACAGTGCTCTTTCATTCTTTCATGTACATACATTGGCGAGTGTAGTTGGGGTAGTCCCATGACTGCACAGCCACAACTATACAGCCGTAACACCAAAAACACCGTACTCTAGGACCTCTTTTAGTGACATTCAGTGAGGCCTTGAGAGACTACTGTCCCCCCTGTGAGCCTGTGTGACATTGGGATGATTCCCCTGTTACAATGTCTTGACTGCAAAAAGCGTTGAGCTGTTGGAGGATGTTGCCATGGATGAGCTGGTAGCAATTAAACAGTCCAGCTCATCTGAGCACACCAGCTTAGGCAAGTGCCATGATGGTGCATCTGGACGATCCAACAGGGCAGTCAGTGAACTGGCCAGTCAATCTGATTGGACAGGTAAGGATGATGGTTCAGTCTCATGACAGGTTGGGCCCACAAGGGGTGTCGTGCTTGATGAGCAAAACAGAACTGGGTGGAGATGCTCTGATGGACACGCTAGTCCTGTGGAGTGCTGCTGTAAGGAGTACATGGGTCTCAGGGTGGTGATGCGTGCTGTGCACGCTATCTTTATTCATTGTTTATTACTCTTTATTCCTTGATGTAAACAATGTATATAAAATGTGGGGAAGGGTGAAACAGGTTTTCACTCTTCTCCTCCCCTGTTGAAATAAAGCTCTATACTGCCTACTTTCTGACAGCTTGAGGATAGCAGGAGTCACAACTAAGGTTGGAACCTCAACTGACCCTTCAGCTGCACAGGATCAGCCATTTGATGTGGCTGAAGCATTGAGCTATTGGAATGAGTTGAACTTGATGTATAGGCTGCAACTGTGCCACCTGGCACTGAGGACAGGACACTTCCAATTTCACTACAGTGGGCGAGATTGCAACAACCTTGGGATTGTGAGGCCATACTGATGCCAGTGAGGGGTTGGTTGTGACAAAATGGGTGCCCACTGCTTGGGACTGTGTGAGGGCAAGAACCTCAACATGTTTGAAATGTATGATGAAATCAGCTAGTTTTTGCTGCAAGTAATACCAAGTTTGATGTACTTAACTCGATCCAGCCCAATGTGATCAATGTTGAATGGATGATCTGTCCTGGGTCTGCCTTGAACACAGCAAGGATGAGATTGGAACTGGAAATGGTTCAGGTGAACTGACCCATTGCCTGAAGGATCAGTGTCAACTGTAGCCAGTTTGTGGAATGACTGAACCTCTATGTCATCTGGGCCCAGCCATTGCCATTCACATAGCATGTCCATAGGCGCACACTCATAATAGAACCTCTGTGGTGATGAAAACTTGTCTAGCACATGCTTTAGTGGGATGATAGAATACTGATAGTCTGAGTTGACAGCACCTAAGTTAGATGGGTAATTGTAAGGAATGGATGATGTGTGCATTCCTTTTATTCATTATTCTATAATAAACTTTGGACTAAACAATGTAAAACACCTGTATGTACATATATAGCATCCAGGGTTGGGAAAAGGAGCTTTGCTCTTCTCCCCCCTGTCAAATACTAGCTCCATACAGTCTATGTTCTCAACAGCCTGAGGATTGAGGAATCACCAAGGCTGGCACACCAACTGGCCTTACAGTAATCCTCCTGTGTGTGAGCTCGAGGTCACATGATTGAGTTTGATGATGGTGCAACCAGGGTTGGGGCACCAATGTTACAGGAATGGGTTCCAGGGAACCCAACCTGAGCCATTCTGTTCATGGGCAGAGGTGGCTGCATAGCCATCAGAGGGAGAGCAGAAGGGGAAGAGTGTCTGAAGGTATAACCTGTGGGTTGGCCAATGGTAACTTGGCACTCCTGGGAGTGTACCGGCAGTGAGTACAGTGGAGGCTCCTTGAGGGATCCACTAAGTGGTCTGCTAACAGGGACTTGGCACTCCTGGGAGCATGCCGGTAGTGGGTGTGTTGGGAGTGGTTGGCTAGCAGTGACTTGGTGCTCAATGGAGCATACTGGTAGTGTGTAATACTGGGACTCCCAAAGAGAGTCATCCAGTTGGTGGCTATCAGTGACTTGGCACTCATGGGAGCGTACTGGTAGCAGGAGTTGTTGGGGAAAGCAGGCTGGTTGACCAGTGCATGGTAGTGGGTGACTGTGGGAAGTTGGACCCATGGGTGTGTGGCCAGGCATCCTGGAGCTGCCTGGACCATATCTGTCAGAGACCAGGTCGAGATGAAGGAGTGTCTCCATGGTGGAGGGCTTCAGCCTCAGCGACTTATGCCAGGAGCGCTGTGCCAAGTAACATGTCCATGCCCTAACTTACTAAACTGGCAACCAGAACTGAAGGGGGGTAAACTCTAGTCAATTTTATTACTGAGGTGTAACCTATGTACAAGTTGAGTATATATAGTTACAACAAGGGTGGGCCCACAAATGGCGGAGCCAAGCGGAGCGGAGCTAACAGGGTTAATCATTAGCCAATTGAATATTACCGATGAGTCGGGTTACGGGGTTAACGGAATGGTAGGCGATAACCCAGAAACGGAAAGGAGGGATAGGCCTGAAGGTGGACTTGCAGGGCAAGCGAGTGTATTGCTCAGCGGAGGCAGGAGTGCGCTAGCGGACGTTGGAGCTGTCCGGAAGCCTTTGGGGCTCCATACTTAGGGAGGCGTAGGTAATAAATTGAAAAGAGGGGGTGGTGACCATCGAGGGGTACTGAGGTGATTGCGGAATACGGGAGCTCCAAGGTTAGTGAAGAAGGAGTGGAGGTAGTCTGGAGGGATCAGAGGGAGTGGAAGTCAATGGCTGGGGATGGATATGACAGTATCCCCTTCTTAGGCCTGAACCCTTGAAGGCCCAGAATTAGCAAGGTGAGGGGAGCTGTACTTATAGAAAAGAAAAAAAGAAAATGGAAGTGAGGAGTGGAGAGAAAGGGAGAGATGGGAGAGGAGTCGGGGTTCCTAAGGAGCTTCGGGTCCAGGCTTATCTGGGTACCGAGAGTGGAATGCTTCGATAAGGTTGGAGGTGTGATTGAGTTCACCAGCAAGGAGCCATTGTGTCTCTTTGTCGGTCCCTTCATAGCCTAGCCACTTGACCAGGTAGAGCAACTTGTTGCGTCTACGTCGCTCAATCTTGGAGTCGAGTATCTCTTTGATCTTGAACTCCATCTTGCCTTTGATTTCTATGGGAGGTGGAGGTGGCTGGTGGCGGTTCGGAATGATGTTCGGGATGGAGGGTTCAATCTGCGAGACATGGAATACCGGGTGAATGGCTTGCATGTTTTCCGGCAGGTGGAGAGTGAGGGAGTGAGTTCCAACATGGGCAATGAT